CAGTGTTTCTCAACCTTGGTGACTTTAAGATATGTGGACTTCAACTCCCAGAATTCTCCAGCCAGCATCTTAGTTGGAGAATTCTGGGAGTTGAAGTCCACATATCTTAAAGTCACCAAGGTTGAGAAACACTGCTGTAACGTTATACAAAGGCAATTTCCTGTATAATTTCATGAAGCCATTTCAACCATCGATACAAATTTAGCACAGGTAAAATGTAAAGGGACTAGAAATGTAAAGGCACCATTCAAAAGCAAAGACAACTGATGAAATTTCAGAATAAAAGCCATCAACTATGATAAGGATAGTGTCATAGAAACATGCAGGATTGCCATTATTGCAGATTAGAAAAGAAATGAACAGGTGGCTTCTTTTCCTCAAATCTTCAACTTTGATAAATAATAGTGGTAAAAGTCTATAGCTTTGCCTATTTATTGTAGTTCTATAGCTGTATAATTCACACAGTGTCCTTTAGTCTGGCAAGGTCGGACAGCAGGAGGGACAATAAACTGTTGTGGTACACGTGGAAGTCTGTTCTTTAAGCCTTTCCCAACCACCCCCTCCCCCAATACTGTCCTAAATTCCTTTCCTGAGATAGCCTAGAATGTCCTCCGACATGACCTTTGCATTCCTCATTGCTTAGACTTTAAAAAATGCAGTATAGAAATGTGAATATCCTAGCATGACTGTTTTTGAAGCAGTTGATTTTAGATTAACACCTGCTAAACAGAATCCAATACAACATAATATTATAGCCCAGAGGTTCCATATTCGGATTCCGTTGTCTCTGTTCCACCCGCTCCACTCCTCTTCTCTCCCCAGTCCATTTTCAGTAGAATAAGGTTTTCCTGATTGGACTCCTCCAATTGCTCTGCTAGGGTCTGGATTTAGACAGTGTGCATGTAAACATGAATAGAACCAAGGCTGTTAAGAGTAAAGGCCGAGGCATGGGCCAAAAGCAGTGTTTCTTTGTACTGGCCCCTGTGCTCTGGAACTCCTTGCCCTTGCGGTGCCTTCCACATTAAGCTCCCACAAACTGGTAAAAATCGTTTTCTTCGAGCAGACATTCAAAGTGTAGATGGTTGGTGTATGGAGTAGAATGTGTGAGTGTGTTGGTTTTATTGTCGGTTTTACTGTCAGGAGTCATACCAAACTAAGCAGTAAGAAAATACTGCAAAACAAGCAAGCAAGCAAACACTGCGATGCGTGGATCACATCTATAAATGCACATTCCTTTGTGACTGGGGAGTTTTTTCCATTGAAGGAATAGGCACCAAAGGAGTCCCATATTTAGCTAATTTATTTTAACTAAATCCTATTGTTATACTACTAAGCAAGAAGATATATTTCTTACTCCTACTGATATCCAGATAAGTTTGTTTAGATTAAAAAAAAAAAACTTTCTCAAGTTGTTAATTTCTCTGGAAAGAACTGGTATAATAAGGTTCAAAATTCTTATTTTCGTTTTGTTGCAATTGTGAGGATCTCTTTTCTGTCTTTATATTACAATAATATGAACATAGAACTTTATAAAGAAACAGGTAACACTTAATCTTGATTACTCAACCTCCAGACAATTACACCTGGATGACTGAGAATCTTCATAAACAAATTACGTTTTAGATAAATAAGTATCTAAAATCAAACAGTATATGTACATTTATTTTAAAAAGACAATTCAGTTTCCATATTTTTCACATTAAGTGGTACCATTTGTATGGTAAAAGTTAAATGACCAAAATAAAAGACAAAAGTGAGTTTTTGAAAAATAAATCTAAAGGACAGCTTGCTGAAATAAAGGACTGTCCTTTATAATAAATAGGATCACTGTATCCCAGAGGGAAAATTATCAGCAGATTGCATTGTGACTACTTCAAAATGAGGGAAACCTCAGGATAATGTGACAGGGCAAAGCCATTAGTGTGCTGAGAACCGGGTTGTTGTGGGGAAAATTGGAAGAGAGGACATAATTACACCACCTTGAATTATACAAAATAAAGGTGGGAAGAAATCAAATAAATAAATAATAAACATATTCTATTGATTGTGTAATTACCATTGATGCAATATTCAGCTATGTGATACCATGCAAAGCTCCTGGAGGTCAGGAGGGCCTGACCTCCAGCTCAAAGGGTTAACATTTAGATTCTACTTTTTTTACAAAATTTAAAATATATGTAAATAAGACTTCATTTTTGGTGCCTGGTGCCATGTAAAGCAAGTGCTCTTTCTATATGGTAGCACAATTGCCCAATGGAATATGTAATCATTTTAAAGTAATATTCCTGAGGGACTAAGTGTCATTAAAAAGGTTTTAGGAAAATGATTATATCAATTAAAGAAAAATATCCAGAGAGCTATTTCTCTAGTGTGTTAAAAAGGTTTTAGGAAAATGATTATATCAATTAAAGAAAAATATCCAGAGAGCTATTTCTCTAGTGTGTTAAAAAGGTTTTAGGAAAATGATTATATCAATTAAAGAAAAATATCCAGAGAGCTATTTCTCTAGTGTGTTATGGAAACTGAGTGAAGTAACTGGGTGCAACCAAAGCTAAAATTATAAAACCACCCAGAATTTTACTCACTGCTGCTGTAGATCCAGCCCCAGATGTTCTCCCGTGTCAGTGCTGAGACAGCCAGCGCCTTGCCCATAGCCAATTCCTTTGGGACCATATTTCCTCCCATAACATGTTTTGCAGTAAATTTCTGATTCGTGAGCAGCTACTGTTGTGCTGTCCAGAGCTTTTCGGCAACCCACTGAGAAAGAAGGATGTAAACATACGTTAGGTCTTGATATTCAAACACAGGCGCCTGAAGTTTACTATTCTATGTTATAGGTTTGGAGGTTTGAAAAGGAGGCTGCTAAAAGCTTCTTAATAATCAAAAGCAAAGTAAGCTAGTTGTATCTATTGCTAGAGAAATGAGAAGTAATCATGGGCCCCAAAAAAGCTAAGAAATGCCTGATGGAAAGTATGTGTCCCTTTTCCCCATCATCCTAGCCCATGTGAAGGGTACAAAGGAGTAAGGGTACAAAGGAAGAAAAGAATAAAAGCTGGAATTTGTGGGTGGTGACAAAGGATAGCACGCATTGAATCCAGACAGTCTTGGGGGTCTCTTTCTGGAGAGTTGGGTGGGTCCAATGTAGTTGGCTGCTCTGTTGCAGGCTTAAGCCACACCTAGCAGCGCATGTATTTATAACTAAAGTAGCATTACAGAAATGCTATTAAATCTCCGGTGATACTTTTCTCCAAAGGAAACCAAATCTGGGCGACCCCTGGACCTGGATCTTCTACAAAGCTCAGGCAAATACAGTTTATGTCACAATATTTGAGGAGAGCATTTCCCCAGGGGAAAACACTCAGAACAAGTATGGCATTATAATGAAGATTATGCATGGGACAGCTTCTCTTTCATATCCCGCTCCAGCCACAAACCACGTCTGCCAGCTTTGAAATGAAGGTCACAAAGAACGCCGACCTTGTAACACTTACAAAGTTCTCTAAGATTATGTGAAGTGCTTTGAATACTTATAAATCCTTTGAAGTCTAATCCAAACTAAGCTTTATTTATATTTTGGCAATGTGCATTCACAGGCTACATCTGGGTCACAATTGTGGGAAGTAATGCTTTTTTGAATTCCACCATTACCCCTGTGGAACAAAAATAAGATTTATTCTGACTATATTGCAATAATATAGCTAGCTCATGACTATAAAATTATTTGTTCCCAAAATTAACAAAGGCCATTGCAAATATTTCATTTCTGTCCTGAGGACAGAAAGGCAGATACTCATAAGACATTCCAAATAAATTTGCTCCAGTGCATTCAAATCAGAAATGAGAGTTGATTATTGAAGTAAACGGGAACAAATAAAATTGAGCCCACTAAAGAAAGAATCTCCTGTTATTTTATGAATTTCCTCCTTCTCTATTTTGCATTCTCATCTGGGAAGAAAAGATAATGATGTTTATTCTGTGAGTTGTTAAGGGATGGCTCCAGCAGCAGATAAAGTGCTTCTATTTCTGGCCGCCTTGGAACAGAGGGTCTGTTGCTGCAACAGATGGCCCAAAAGCCTTGTTGGCTGAGAAGGCTCAACTGTCAGAAAGTATCCAATTGGTGTCTCTTCTACTGATGTCAGAAAGTAGTTTGAAGCTGACAAATTGTGATTGAGACTCATATCCACCACAGATGCCCTTTAAGTCAAAGCTGACTTTGACAAATCAGAGGTGTTAATGACAGCAAGTCACATCATAAAGGGTAGGATTTTTTTCCCCCACATGAGTTTTCTGCCAGCATTGTACCACAAAATTAATGACTAAAGGCAATTTGTTACTTATATGACTTACCTGCTAAATATACACCGAGCTGTGTGGACACCATAAAATCATAGAACAATTAAAAAAAACAAGCCCACAAACATTTACTAAAGGAATTAATGAAAACATATAATGCAACCAACTAAGCAGCAACAACCTTATTGATGTCTTCTATACAGAAGTATGGTCTACTAAGTTTAATAAGAATTTAACTCCCAGATAATGAGGAGGCAGTTGCAGCCTAAAACTGTCTGCAATAAAGCCTAATGTTGCACATTAAAAGCCATTGTATAAAAGGCTTTTTTCATTTCTAGAAAACAGAGAGAAAGGGGTGCTGTCTAGCTCTCAGCTGTCAACTCAGAGGCGAAGGTATTAAAGAAAGAAATCAGATCCCCAGCCATCCATTGGGTGTGAGCATTAGATAGACCATTATTCTGAGAAAAACAATTACTGATCAGGGACTTAAGAGGCAGGAAGCTTTTCCTAATGTTTCACCATAAAGCAACTCTCTTGTACCTTAAAACTATTTTTCTTTGTTGTAGCCACTACGGGCATCAGTTTCAATTACTTGAAAGGAGAAGTTGTGATAAACACTGGAGAAAATGCCCACCTTTCAAAGAAGATTGGAAAGAATATGGTACAAGTTCTGGTCTCCTAACCATCAACCCTTCTCTGGCTTGCTAAATTATTCCTTTATCAAACTCTGCCCTGTTCTCCTTCAATTGATTTGATCCTCATATTCATTTGATATGCAATACCTTGATTCTGCATAGATCCTAGGACAGACTGACTGTAAGCTATTCTGTCATATTCACTATAATTTCTGTCAATATTGATTATTCAGTCTCATTATAAAAACACTGATTACTTTTTCAGCAGTCAAAAACCTGCTCTTAACAAGGACAGAGACCCATAACTAATTATCAAACCCATGAGTGAAAAGAATGTCTATTTTCTATCAGGATAATATACAATCTTTCTTGTGCCAAGACATGCTTTGGACTTAAAAATGAGGACAAAAACCATATTAACTATATTGAAAATAACATTAAATACATGTAAGATGCTTACATTGATGCATTCAATAATTTCTCTCTTTTATCATATTAAAATTAGTGTTTGATGGAAATTTTCAGAGGAGCTCTGGCAGACTCACCCCCAGATCCTGGATGGTTACAATCTAGAGCAGTGTTCTCAACCTTGACAGCTTGAAGATATGTGGACGTCAACTCCCAGAATTGAAATTAAAGCTGCCAAGGTTGAGAAACACTGATCTAGAGCTTCTAGCTAGACTCTCTGTTATACATTAGTGAATTCAAGCTTCTTTCTCCCAGAATGTATCTTTAGTCACCCAAAGTGGCACCATTCATAAACACAACAGAGATGCCAGCAGATACAAGGAATTGAAAGTATGCTACTTTAACTATTATATATATTTCACACAAATTATTTTCCCTAGTGGATCTTAAGCAGAGGGTGGCTATCCAAACCTTCCGGAAAGTAATAGCAGTGGATATTCTGCATTAGTAGAGAGCTGGACCAGATGACCTTGAAGGGTCCTTTCGTCTCTACAACTGGATTCACACATCAGGCTATATCACAACATTGTTTCATTTTGGCTTATTATGTGGCGTGGACCTAGTGATTGTGGTTAACAATATATGGTTTATAGCTAAATATTATGTGCAAACCTCATCAATTGTGGCTTATTTAACAAACCATAATTAAAAGTATGACTTTGTGCTCTGTGAGTTAACCCACTCAAATATGTTATGGTTCTGTAAAATATTTTCTCACAAGCACTACAAAATATGGTTTCTGAAAATTGTAAAGAAACCAAGGATTTATTCATAATTAGTATTTATTCTTTCATGAGTATTACTTTTGAATACGATAATTATTTTTTAGCTGCTCTTTTGGTGGGCAGAAATAAAGAACAATATTAGCTATTGTTCCATGAGTCACAATGAGAACAACAAACTACAACTATTTAGTGAAAGAAGAAACATAGATGAACTTACTGCAGAGGAAACATGTCTTATGGAAACTCCGTCCGTTACACTGAATTTCCTCAGCATGGTAGACTGTTTTACCACATGCAGCACATTTGGCTCCACCTCCCCAGTTTGGCATCCTTGAAATTTTCAGTTGGCTTGAGCTGTCACCTTTAAATCCAAAAATAAATAAGGCATAATTAGCAAAGATTAGTCCTCCAATATGCTAAATTAAAACTTTTAATGTGATGCTATGCCAGCTCTCCAGCTGTGTCATAATGGAGTTCTCAGGTAGGATGGACTATGACTACCATATCTGGGTTGTAAACATCCACTAGATGACAGCAAAAAGAGCTTTTTCTATCTCTTTGCTGCAGTCCAGATGTGGCATGCCTAGGATGGTTCCATGAAAATGTAGGCCTTGCCTCTGGTTTGGCTGGGAAATTTAAATTATGGGAATTGAGGTTCAACACAAGCACAAAGAATCTCCCATATGTATGGCCTTTTACGAAGGAGCCATGTTTGGAAAGTAGAAAGTAGGTGAGAGACAGTTGATAATCTTGCAGTAGAGGCTCTTCCTTTCTGGGGGCCACCATCCCATTTATCCACCATGATGCCCTTTGGAATGATCATGACACGGTATCATTCCAGGGAATTGTAGAGGTGGAAAATAGTGACACCCAGAGGAACTGGCGATTGGAAAATCCTTACCACTATTTTGGTAGTAGAAAAAAAATCAGGAAAAGAATCAAGAACAGAGCACTGTGACTGCTATGAAATTATAGTCACTGTGGAAACTTGTGCATTGGTTTGGTGGCAGAAAACATTTTGCTACCTGAGCCAAACATAAAATGGATACATCTCCCTTTCAAGAAGCATGATACCCAAGGTTATTTTGCCACCTGTGGCAGAAGATCCCACTGACACTTCTTTTGACCATTCCCTGGCAACAAAACCAGAAACAATGATAAATAAAATAGTTCACAATTCTCAGCTCCCAGAGGGACTCCCAGACTCTGCCCTATTCTATAGTGTACATCGACTTCAATCCAAAAGGGATCTATGGAAATTTTCTAGTTAATCCTTCAAAAAAAAAAAACCAACTATAAATTGCATGGAGCAAAATGCTGTATCTTCTTCAAGCAGCTATACAAAATATAAGAATCTCCTTGAGTTCTCAACCTAATCATCAGATGCCATCTCTTTTGCTGCTCCAATTACTGCCAACCACTGTGGTGTTTTCACACTTGCCCTTCTAAACAGCACTTGTTCCTACTGAGTTTATCATTTGCCAATAAACTCTTCTTTGCAGAGATCAAGCTACTATGAACATCTAGGATTTATTCCTATGCTGAGCATAGTAAGCTACCATGAAGGCATTTTCCTTCTGAAAAGGAAATATCTATTTCGGTTCAAGAGGAGGAAGAAGCACTTGCTGTCCCTTCAAATACTCAGTGAGATACTTTTCATCATGTACATCTAATAAAAATATGGATAAACTCAAGAATAACAAAATGAGAGCAAGCATACTCTTGTCACAGCTTGGGAGTGCTCTCCCTTAACACAACATTTGACTTTATTCTCTGCTGATTTATATTTAAAATGTGACTCTTTTCCTTCATTAGCTCAATGTCTCCTCCCTATGCTATTTTATTTCAGCTCACTTAGGTTGTTGCTCAGCAACCAAAGTTAAAAAGAAATCCCACTTATGCTCCCAGGTCTCCCTGAGTTGTTAGAAAAGCAGAGTGAGTATTTGATAATGCATACAGAAGCACATCTTTTCAGATATCACAAATAAATGCTTGAATTTCCTCCCTTTGAAGATCTGAGCTTTGCAATGGGGTAGGACAAAAGTTTAGCCCCAGCATTCAAAGCTTGTTCACGCAAGGGGCTAAGAATGGCATCACAGGCTTTGGAAAGCAAATGCTACTTGTCCTAGAAACATAGCAACACAAAGGAGTAGTTGCAACAACAAACAGTTGTAGGGAGCAGATACAGATGCAAAAAAAGGGTTGGGCTGGATTTGGACCTGGCTTAAAATGGTTAGTAAATTGCAGCTCAATGATAGTTCTGAGGAACTGTCTATCTTTGCCGTAAAAGTTCCTGGCCCAAATATTTCTGAGATAAACTTCATGCTAGCAGAAATTCTAACATGGCAATGTATGTGCTTTGATTAGAACTTATTAAAAGAGCCTCATATCTGAGCAAATGTTTGTTGTCAGAGATTAAAAGCATAAGAAGTTGGAGGTGGATCAAAAATTAAAGAGGGAAAAGAATGCAATATAGATAAATGAATGAGGTGGGGGGAATATATTTAACTTGGCTGCACTTGCTGCATGTAGAATTGAGAATAAGAAAGTAATGGGGTTAAGAAAATGCTTTATCCTTTGAACCAGTTTGAAATTATTTTGTTGCATTCCTCTTTCCTTTCTTTCTTTTTAGTAATAATTCCAAGGGCAATATCAAATTTGTGAAGGAAACACAGCATTCTCAACTTCTTAAAGCAAATAGGTAAGGGGTCATACTTGAAATGGCTGGCCAGACTCTCATCAAACACCTTCAGATGGAGAAACCACAACCTCAGTAGATAGGCTGTTCTGATATTGTACAGATTTTACAGTTGGGACATTTTCCATTATGTTAACATTTTCTCTAAAAACCAGAGTCATATATCATTCATTAAACATCCACATTCAGTTAATCATCTGAAGATCATCAAGCCCTTTCAATTAGGTTATCCTTTTAGCAAAGTCCAGCATGAGAATTTGGCATCCTCATCCATCTTCTATCTCCAGAGCCCTTGTTGCCCACTGTTTTGTTTTTGTTACCTCCCCTCTTTTGTCATCAGCAACAAAAGTGAGATGGAACACATCTTTCCTTTTATTCTAGAGTCTGGGCAATTGAGTAGATTGAGCCAGAGAAGAGCAGAAAATGTGGGTTATTTCAAAGGGGGGAGGTCTCCACTCAAGGGTCCCCCTCCCACCATGGTATGAAATATGATCAACACACTGCAGATTTTCCAAATGGCACAAAAAGGAACTGAAAAATAACTTTAACCTTACTAACATTTCAGGAAGCTAATAGCATACCCAAACATCAACAATATTAACTGTAGCTAATATGCTATGGCTGCACTCTGGTTCTGGGTTTTAAATTTTGGTGTTCCATCCTGTCTAGGAGAAATACAAGTTAACTCAGATGCTATTTGAGTTGTCATCCAGATAGCATCTCAAACGCTTCTGTGATTCATTGGAAGGAAAAAGGAGATTCAAAGCTCTCCGCCTACGCTTTTCTAACTTAGGTGACTGATACTGTCAGTAAATCCAGAGAGAAAAAAAATTCTGAGGGACAATAATGATGTCAGTTGGTTGATAGGCTGCAGAACACAAATATAGCACTCAGAATATAGCAGTGACCTCTTCTTTGTCCTGTATTTCAGATGGACCACAAAACTGAGGAAAGGACCTGATATACTCATACTGCTTTCTTGCTGTCTATGTGAGTCATATTTTCTAGGGACATCAAGTCCTAGCTTGGCCTTAGCCTGTTACATTATGATCAGTTGGGTTATTCTGAACTTCTGGCTCAGTCCATCTTTTATCCTTCTTGGCAAGCCAGTCACTTTCTTATTATAGCTTTTTCCTAAGAGATAGCTTATCTTACTGACACTAGACCAAAGCACTATTAAGATATTCTTAACCAAGTCCAAGATGTCAGAAATTGCATTGAGATTCACCCAGCACTTTGCTCCTAAAAATTGCCATCTTGATGTCACAGAAAAGGGAGATAGAGAGAAAAATAAGTTTTATGCTTAAGGATAATACAAAAAAGAATTGCATTATCAGTTCCCCAATTTAAAATATAGGAGGAAATATTGGAATTCTACCATACTGAGGCAGAGTTAAACACAACTCATGGCAATAATTGCATATTAACTTTCTGTATTTTCCCTGTATCAAATTTTGGCACAGCTATTTGGGGTTGTTCTCTTGAATTCAGTAAAACACCATGCATACCTTACTTTGATCTATATAGGATCACAATCATTACTTTTGGCTGGGAATACTTTCCAACCTATTTTTCCCAACTACCTACAGAATGTATGATGATGATGATATTAATCAGTCCATTACACCTTAGGTCACTAAAGTAAAAAGTAAAGCTCTCTCTCTTCAAATGGGGTTGTAGCTGCTCTACCCAAGACGGTAAAAGAAACTTGGGCTACAGAAGAACTTTGTGGTTCCAAGGGTACAGCTGTACCAACAAGCACCCCAACTTATAAGCCTGATTTTGGTGGAGGAATGCAGTCCCTTCCCAGATAGGTTGAACACAACTCAGCTGAAGGGAAAAACATGCAGGGACCTAAAGATTGTGGAAGTAACCCTGTGTGTTGAATATCATCTTCATACATGAAATCTTTTTTCCCCAAAGTTTACTAGACACTACCTGTTGACACTACCTGCCTGTTACACAGAAAATTAAAGAGCTGCTGCATGTAATAAAGAAAAAATGGATTGTGAAATGCCTGCTTCCAAATCTGTCCTGCAATAAACTTGTGATCTTTTCAGTCAACTGTTATTCAAGGATTTGCAGCCTTGAAACTGGGGTATCTTGATGGTTTCTCTAAAAACAACATAGGAGAATCCAAGCATTCAACTGATTTCAGTGAAATTTAATTCAAGGCTTGTAGCTTCAACTTTTCTTCCTCAGAAAAAGTTGAGATGACTACAAATAGAATTCAGTATCTCACAACACACTGGCACTTTCTAAAAGACACAGATCATAGGAGAACTGGTTTCCTAGACTGGCAACAGCTCCAAGATTTTTCAGAGATCTGGCATTTTACAGAGATCCTCTTACTTCAGAGATGCACAAAAAGTACCCTGAAGCTTGCATCTGGCCTTCCAGCATCCCTTTGGTAGATTTCAGAGTGGAACAGGATCAATATTTTTGGCTGCTGTTATTTTGCATTGGTGGGAGTTGAGGTTATATTTTTAAAGGAGCAAAATGAGTACCTACATCTTCCAGATACTAAAACATTCATTTACCTCTTAAAACTCTTGATTCTCTCCCCTCCAAAAAATGGGCCCTGGTCCTGCCAACTTTTGGAATGGGTGTACCATGCGAAGCCTTAACCTTAAGGCAACAGAAGTTGTCCATCTCTGATCTTTTTAATTAATAATGCTACAGTAAAACTTGAGATCTCCCGGTTTCTATTGATTATGAAAATATACTGCATTCATTAAAAGAACCCGATTGCAGTCCTAAATGAACTTACTAGCAAGACAGCTTCACTAAACTAGGAGTTACTTTTTTGTTAACAAAGTCAGTTCTTTGTTCCAGCGTTGGCAAAAATAATTGCAACAATAATAAACAAATTCTAGCAATCCATTTCTCCCCATGGGGGAAAAACCCTCACTAAACAATAGCAGACAGTGCCCCTTAATGCTCTCTCAGCAATACTTACCAGAAGGAAATTTATGTATCTTCTTGTCTCCTATATCTTTTTGATGAGACCAAACCAGGATCCAGCTGACTTTAAATACTTTCAAGGAGAGGAGGGCTGTGTAAGTTGGGGCAGAGTAAAGAGTATGTGAGCAATGTTACTGCTATCAGGTAGCTTAAAATAACTTGTGACAAAGCCTTGGATTGAGCATTGGTTATGAGCAAGTAGCAGAACAATGTGGGCCCCTCAGGTTACAAGCAAATGCTTCCAAATGCAGTTGTCTAGACAAAAAGAAATCAAATGAATCAATAGGACCCAAGGCCTGAGCTGAGTTACAAATCAATTACGACTGAATCCTTAAAAATAAAATGAAAAGCAGCTATAGACAGACCACTCAGCTATGGAAAAAGTTGGTAGCATAGGAGTTGCAACTATGATATATTATCATTGTACAAAGACCTTGTACAAGCCTGTCAACCCCTCAAAACTGACCTGAAAAAATCTGATATGAGCTTGGCCATTTTTTTTACACCCAGAGATGATGCTCATCACATCACATGCTGTTGCCACTTCTCAGTTTAATCAAAAGCTGGAAAGGGTTTTGTTTGCCCTTTGCTTCCTCTTGGAAAACGAAGTAAAAAAGAACCTATGTAGAAATGTTTATTAAAGTGACAGATTAAAACTGGTGAGGCAACTTAATACCCTTTAATTCCCATCAGCTCCAGCCAGCACAACCAATAGTATGAGGTAGGTACAAAACATCTGGAGGGCATAATCTTACCTACCTATTGAATAAATTAAGCTTAACTAAATGGAAACAACTAATTCCACGATCTATTAAGGAGCATCTACAGAGACATTTGGATTGTTAGGAATAATCATGAAGTCTCCCTTAGTTCATGTTTACTCATGTTGACTACCATGCTAGGAACAATAAAAGAAGACAGATATTCATAGAGGATGACACTATCAATGACTTCTGGTCATGATGGTTATATATTGTATCTGACTACTAACTGCTAGGGAACCCAAGTGAGAGGGTTAATGTCCTTTTGTGATCTCCTCATGAACAGAACACTGGACCTGATAAGCTTATTAAAGGTTATGCAGGTATTCTTATTCTTATAAATATATGTTTAAGGGCAATTTTTCTAGCCCAATAATTTTATATACAGTACTGTGCAAAAGTTTTAGGCAGGTGTGAAAAAATGCTGTAAAATAAGAATGC